AGGACTTCTTCTTACCGCCGGCGACCCCCCTGGGCGGCCCCGTCCCATGGCCCCAGCTCGCCTTCTCCCTCGCCAGGCGGAAGTTCGCCGCCGTTGCCGCGCAACGCTCCCCACGTGCCCCGCGGCCGACCTATCCGCGGCCGCCGCTCCTGCTCGTGGCACCATAGAGCCTGGCGGGGCGAGGGGCAGAGCGCCTCCTTCTCCTCCTTCGGCGGTCCCGAGAGAGAGAGAGAAGGCGGGCTGGCGGGCGGGAAAAGGGCCAGGCTCCGTGGGAGTTCCCCGGGCGAGCGGAGTCCCTCCCGGGTGGAAGGAAAGGCTCTTCCACGCGTGCCTCCGAGCGAGGCCGGCCAGCCCTGGGCGGCGCCCTCCCCTGGGGTTTTTCCTCGCTCGAGTCAGGCACCCTGAGCGGGGCGGAAGGGGGGGGGAAGCCGCCCCGCCTCAGAACGAACAGGCCGAGGGGCTCCGGTGTCCTGAGGGCTTCCCACGGCCGGCCGGGCAGGGGTACCCCGAGGGAGGGAGGGAGGGAGGGTGAGGGCTGCCGACGCCCGCCGGGGTTGGGGGTGGGGTAGACGGAGCAGGCCAGGCGGAGCGCTCCATGGGATGAACCGTATAGCCGTCTGGAAGGCAGTTTTTTCTTTCTCAGTCCCCTTGCCTCTCACGTTACCCTGAGAGAGGCCTAAAAGTCGTCTGCTAGAGGCAGGGCCTCCTCGGTGGTGGCGCCTGCCTTATGGAATCAACTCCCGGAGGGGCTACACCTTGCCCTCTCCCTGTACTCATTTTGGAGGCAGTTAAAAACACTAATTAGAATCACAGAATCCCGTTGAATACCCCTCGCCTCCGGTTTAATAAACATGACCTGCAGATCAGAAGACAGCCAGATTAAAGAAAACCCCCCCCCCATATCAATCTAGCTCCCCAGTCTAGTTTTGGGGGAACTTATACGAGGCTTTGAGTTAAGCAGTAAGTAGGGAGCGAGTAAATTTGTTTCAATAAAGTGTCACTCACAATGGACAAACTGTTCCTGGGTTATTTTTGCATTCTGTTTATCATCAAAACCAAATAAGCATTTTGACATTGCTTCATTGTTTACATTATACTGCTTGATAATGGTTTCCATGGGACCAGCTCATCCTTGTACAGTACCTTGTTATTTGACTAATTAATGGTTTCTAGGGCTGAAATCAATCAGGGAATATTTGTAACCATAAAATATAGCGCGCCTTTTAGCATATACAGGCCTTTACCTTAAGCAAGATGCAACGGACTATAAAGCTTGACATCTATGACTATAAAATCCTATAACACCACGACTGCGCCTTGTGGCACCCCACTTGTTATCCCGTCCAAGTTGAAGAAGCCATTGATGAACATTTTCTGAATAGGAATCTGTAACCAACTGTATGCACCTGAAAGTTCTGCAGCCCACACCTAGTTAGCTTACTAGCCAGAATATTATTATTATTATTATTAGTATTAGTAGTAGTAGTAGTAGTAGTAGTAGTAGTAGTAGTATCATCATCATCATCATCATCATCATCATCAATAGTAAGCCACATTTCTACCAACAAAGGACTGAAATGGGGTTCAGGGATTCAGTTATACCACAGACTACTTTGTGGGAGGATTTGCTGAAGTCAAAATATATTATGCCTACAGCATTCTCATCGTTTACCCAATCAAAAGGTTACCCAATCAAAAACTGAGATAAGATTAGTCTCCCAGGATTTGTTCTTGCTATATTTGTGTTGGCTTCCAGCTATTAGTGCACTGTTTTCAAGGTACAGTACTTGCAAAGTGCCTGCTTTATAATATGCTCCAGAATTTTTCATGGGATTAATGTCACCCTGATTGGTCTATAGTTCCTAGGTTCCTTTTTTTTTTTGCCCTATTTGAAGATAGGGATAACATTAGCTCTCACCCAATCATCGAGCACTTCAGCCATCAAGACAAGAATACGCAATGCTGAGAATTCTGCAGCCAGTTCTTTCAATACTCTCGGATGTTCACTGGGCTCTGTAGATTTGAACTTGTTCCAAATAATAAGGTATTCCTTGTCTATTTTTTTTAATCAACCTGAAGCTGCAATCCTGTCCCCTACACTTCTAGTTCACATTTGTCTGGAGGGTCATAGACTGTCTTTTGAGAAAAGACTGAAGTAGGAATTGAGGACTTCTCCCTTTTCTGTGCCATCTGTTACCATTTTCCCATCCCCACTGAGGAGCTGTTTCTGTTCTCTGCCTTTTGCTATGCCCGCACCTGAAGAATGCCTTTTTTGTTGTTGCTTTTAGCATCTCTTGCTAACCTCAGCGCATTCTCAGCTTTTGCTCTCCTATTGCCATCCCCACAATTCTTTGCTACTCATGTGTACTCTTCCTATGTAGCCTGGCCTTCCTCTTCCCATATGTTTCCTTTTTTGTTTTCAGATCCTCTCTGAGCTTTTTTTTTTTTTGAAGTCACGTTGCTCTCTTTTCTTGTTGTTGGAATTGTTTGTATTTGTTCCTTTAAAATTTCCTTTTTTAGAAACTCCCATCCATTTTGGAACCCTTTTCGTGTTAGAAATTTCCTGTCATGAGACCTTCCCTATCATTGCTCTGAGTTTATTAAAATTAGCTTTCCTAAAGTCCAGTGTATTTAGGTGGCTACACTCTGCTTTTGTTTCTTTTGAAATAACGAACTCAAATAGAACATGGTTTTACTTGAGAATCCAGCAGAATGGAGATGGACAGTGGGTCTGACTCCATCATAGAATTACTTAGGATTAAACTACCAGGCCTAAAGAGCGATGTGATACTGGGGGATGCTATCGTCCTCCAGATCAAAAACTTGAGGGGAACCTTGAAATGAGACAGGTCAGGCACTCCCATTTCTTTAAGGACTTGCCATAGTTTGCTGTGGTCCACACAGTCAAAGGCTTTTGTGTAGTCAATGAAGCAGATGTTTTTCTGGGACTCTGACTTTCTCCATTTCACAAAATGACCACTACACGGCAGTGTTGCCACATAAGAAGACAAAATCAAACATGAAAATGAAGAAAGTAATTTGTGACATCTTAAGACTGGTGCTCCTTTTGTTGTTGTTGTTGTTTTGCCGGAACAGAATAAGATGGCCATTTCTCTGACAAGAAGACAAGGCGTTTTCCATAAAGGACCAGACAAGTAAGGGCTGGGTCAAGCCACACCTGTTGGATTTTCTGCTTCATCCAACTGATGCTACCGCGGGTGCAAAAATAGTACCTCTCCACTCTCTGGTCTCCAGTGAGGTGGGGGGCAGGGGGGTGGGCGCTCCACAGCCAGCAGTAGGGCCTCGCAGCTGCCACTTTCTCCCCAAAATCAGATCTGAATTCACAAGCCACCCTGGCTTCTGGGAGCATCATTCAGTGGCGGGGGAGGGTCACGGGCAGCACCACTGACCTCACTGGCTTTTCCTTCCTCCTCAATGAGTGGCCAGCATGAAACAATCACCATGCTATATTTAGCAAGACTCTGCTGCCTGTTCTTCCTCCTTGGCAGGAACACTGCCTATGTTGTTCTGCAATTCAGCCTTCTGCCCCAATTCTGTCCAGATTTGCTTGCGGTCTTTCCAGCAGAATGCCTCTGTCTCTCTCTCTCTCTCTCCCCCCGCATTCTCCCAAGAGATGTGCGCCTACTTGCAGTGCATGAAATCTCTTCCCAGCCCTTGAGGGCAGCGTTGGAGCTGCTTGAGCCCCCAAAAAGTGAAAGAGGTCCCAATTCCTCCTTCAGTGGAAGGAGACTGGAACAGTTTTTAACTGTTTTAATTTACAGTGTTTAATGGGACCTTCCTGGAGTAGACTTTGTCTAAAAGGACGGGATCGAAATCTAATAAATAAATAAATAAAATTAATAAAGGAGGAGGTCCCACTCCCATAGAAGCACATGCACACAATCAAGATTCAGGGTAAAGTGCAAGTACTGTAGCTGGGGTGGAGGGACATGCAGGCTAGGATCTCTTTCTCTAGCAGTGGTTTTCATTTTTTTTTGGAAACCTCTCCTCTTGCTTCTGCTCTGCAGCTAGGAAGAGGAGGCAGTTTGCATCCGGGCTTTCCACAAAGTCAGAGGGAGGCCAAGCCTGTCAGCTGACTTCAGAGCCTTTGCTAAGGGAGACCACAGAATAGGGAGGGGAACGAGGGAAGTGAGTCAGGAAAGGGCTTGGCTGCCTTCACCTTCCTCTCTGGAAATGGGGGAGGGTGTAAAAAGTTCCGAATGGTTTCCTCATCATTTCCTTTCTACCTCTCAAGTGCCTGACACTGGAGCATCCCAGGACAGGAGGGAGGGAGCCTGTTGTGCACATTTCCTGAAAAATCACGGAGCCTCCAAGCCAGGAAATCTCCTCTCTACTGTAGTGGGCGGATTCAGTTCATTAGCCTTGCTTACGACTACTATGCGAAACATCTTTTAAGGGAACATTTATTAAGGATCCATGACAGGAAGAGGTGAAAGCTCTTTTGCTAGCATGGGTCCAGTACCCTCTTGTGACTGGTTCCTTTTCATGACTGGCAAGCATGGAATGCAGGAGTTGCCAGAACATCACAAACTGCCTCCGGGACTCCGGCTCCGGATTTTGCCTCAAGATCTACTCCTGAAGCCTTTTCCATTGATAGATATAGCCACAAGGCAGTGGAGGTTTGAAATCGGAGTTTTCCTTCTCCTAGATGGGCTGCCTTCCAAGGCTGACGAGCCCCACCTGCCCGGGGAAGCAGTATCTATACAGTGATGAAACGCAGGGATCACTCAGGGTGCTACAGATTTCTGGAGCTTCAGCCACCTCTGGATAAGGCATGTGGCAAGTATTCTGATAGGTAAGATCTCCCACAAATGAAGCCAAGTCAATACAGCTTCCACCACGAGTGGTGGTGGTGATGGTGGTGGTGATGATGTTCTGAGAATTCTTTTTTCTTAAGCTGGAGTAGCACCAGCCCTCTCCTCAGCCATTATTTGCAGTCTTTCATAGGCTCACCATTCAATGGGCAAGTCAATGCTTTGCATGCAGAAGACCCACCCCAGTCCCTCCCACTCTCAAATTCTTCTGATAAAGCACGCAAAATCTCTGTTTCTTCACACTGTTCATTCATGAGCTTGCAGGGTATGACTGCTGTTCTAGGCCTGGCAGCTACTGTCTCAGCTCTGAATCAAGTCAATGACTCATTGCCTCTGAGCAGCAGCCTTTGTCCCAG